AATTTAACATATACTTACCTTATGGTCAAGTAGCAATTCTGATTCCAATTACAGTGTGGGGAGGAGTTTTTCCCACATCACCAAGCTATTCTCCAACACCAGCTACCTGGAGATAGCGTCAGATTCCACAGGGTAAAAGCTCAGTCCCACGAGACTGCCCTCCGCTTCAGACACCAGTCTCGAGTCCCCGTTGTCACCTGTACTTCCGACCTTTTTGTTGTTAATGCTCTCAAGTCGATTCCGACTCCTAGCGACCATATGTACAGCAGAGCGAAACCCTCCTGGTCTTTTTGTGCCATCCTCTCCCTCCCAGCACTGTATCAGACAATGCTCCGCTGCTATTCATGGCCAGTTTTCATGGCCAGTTTTTTTGGAAGTGGTTGGCCGGGTCCTTCTTCCTAGTCTGTCATGGTCTGGAAGCTCTGCTGGAACCTGTCCACCGTGGGTGACCCTGCTGGTATGTGAAATACCCGGGGCATAGCTTTCAGCATCACAGCGACATGCAGCCCCCACAGCGTGGCAATGGACAGACAGGTGATGAGATTCTCTGGGAAATGAACCCAGCCCGTGAGCGCTGAATCTTAACCCGTAGATCACCATGCCTCTGACCTACTAGCTATAAATCAGAGGTTCCCATGACCCTCTCGTTGGGTTCCATTAATTTACTAGAGCAGTTCATGGAACTCAGGAAACCAGTTTACTCACTAATATTACCAGTCTGTTTAAAAGGTTCTAACTCAGGAACAGCCAGATGAAGAGATGCCTAGGGCAAAGTATGGGGGAAGGGCGCGGAGCTTTCATGGTCTCCCCGAGCATACTTCCCTTCCCAAATCTCCACGTATTCACCAGTCTGGAAGCTCTTTGAACGCTGTCTTTTGGGTTTGTGTGGAGGCTCCATTACATGGGCATGATTGATGAAATCATTGGCCATTGATGACTGATTCAACCTCCAGCCCTCTCCGCTCCCCGGAGGTCAGGGGGCTGGGACTGAAAGTTCCAATCCTCTAGTCAAGTGGTCGGTTCTCCTGGCAACCAGCCCCTATCCTTATGTGCTTTCCAAGTCTCGTCATTAACATAACGAGACACTTTTATGACTCTCATCTCTTGGGAAATTCCAACCGTTTTAGGAGCTGTGTGTATGAAACAGTCAAGACTAAATATGTATTTCTTGTAAATCACAATGACACATCACGCAGTCTCACTCTTAAAGAAGCGAAAATGTGTTCACACGAAAGCTTGTACATGAATGTTTATGGCAGCTCTATTTGTAATTGCCAAAAGCTGGAAACAGCCCACATGGATTGTTTGAATGGATAAACTGAAACGTTCATATAATGGAATACTATACAGCAGGGAAGGAACTGTTAATAACCTGCAACAACTTGGATGAATCTCAGAAGCTTATGATGAGTGAAAGAAGCCAGTCTTAGAAGATTATATGCTGTATAATTCCATTATATGACTTTATGGGAAAGATAAAACTAGAGAGGAAGAACATGTCAGTGGTTGCCTGGTGATGGGGTGGAGGTAGGGTGTGACTGCACAGGAATATCCCAAGGGAGCGTTTTGAGGTGGTGTAGCTGTTCTGTATCCTGATCGTGGTGGTGGTGGTGTGACTCTACGAATGTGTTAAAATTCATGCAACTATAAACCAAAAAAGCAATTTTCCTGTAAGTTAACTTTTTTGAAAAAGGCGTTTGCCCCTTCACAGTAACCCATTGAGGGGATATGAACTTATTTCAGTAAAACTATAATTTCTTAAACCTTTTTTGGAACTCCTGGAGAGTTGACTTAGGCACATGATTTCAAATATCTTCAATTTCCTATTCTTAATGTTTTCATCCTTTGAGGATGATTTTTCTTCCCAACAGTGAAAAGTTGTTCAGAGAGACAGGTCTGGTGAATGAGGTGTATGAATGCTACTCGTTTATTTTTAAATCCATTTTAATAGCTTGTGTCTTTAGAGGTATTTGTGCGCTTCATCTAGGTTGTTGAATTTGGACGTGAAGATGTTCACAATATTCCCGTATTATCCTTTTCATGTTTGTAGAATCTTGTAGTGATGTCACCTTTTAAAAATCTATTTGTCATTGACATCTTTTTTCTTATCAGTCTGACTAGAGGTTTATCGACTTTATTTGTTTATTTATTTTTATTTTTTTTATTTTTTTTAAAGATTTTATTTTTTTCCTTTTTCTCCCCAAAGCCCCCCGGTACATAGTTGTATATTCTTCATTGTGGGTCCTTCCAGTTGTGGCATGTGGGACGCTGCCTCAGCGTGGTTTGATGAGCAGTGCCATGTCCACACCCAGGATCCGAACCAACGAAACACTGGGCCTCCTGCAGCAGAGTGCGCAGACTTAACCACTTGGCCACGGGGCCAGCCCCTTATTTATTTTTTTAAAGATTTTATGTTTTTCCTTTTTCTCCCCAAAGCCCCCTGGTACATAGTTGTATATTCTTCGTTGTGGGTCCTTCTAGCTGTGGCATGTGGGACGCCGCCTCAGCGTGGTTCGATGAGCAGTGCCATGTCCACGCCCAGGACTCGAACCAATGAAACACTGGGCCGCCTGCAGCAGAGCGCGTGAACTTAACCATTCGGCCACGGGGCCAGCCCCTGATTTATTCTTTCCAAATAACCAGCTTTTGGTTTCAGTGATTTTCTGCATTGTTTTCCTTTTTATATTTCATGGATTTCTTCTGTCTTTATTGTTTCCTTCATTCTATGTACTGTGGGTTTAATTTTCTTTCTCTAGATTCTTAGGGTGAAAGCTTAGATCGTTTGTTTTAAACTCTTCTTTTTTCCTATTATAAGCATTTAAAGCTAAAACTTGACTCTCAACACTGCTTGGGCTGCATCCTACACATTTTGTTACATGATGTTTTCATTTTCATTCAGTTCAAAGTATTTTCTAACTTTTCTTTGTTTTCTTCTGTGACCTGTGGGTTATTTAGAAATGTGTTGTTTAGTTTCCAAATATTTCAGAATTTTCCATGTATCCTTTGGTTATTGATTTCTAATTTAATTCCATTGTGGTCAGAGAACATGCTTTGTGTGAGTTCAGTCAACTTAAACTTGTTGAGACTTGTTTTATGGCTCAACATGTCGTCTGTCTTGGTGAGTATTCCATATACACATGAAAAGAGTATTCTCCTATTGTTGGGTAGAGTTTTATGAAAATGTCAGTTGGATCAAGTTGGTGAATAGTGTTCTTGAAGTCTTCCCTATCCTTTTCTGATTCCTCTCCTTTTCCCTATTCAGTATGGTTTTCTGTTTACTCATTTTATCAGTTACTGAAAGAAAGTTGAAATAGCCAACTATAAATGTGAATCTTTCTATTTTTTTCTCAGTTCCATCAGTTCTTGCTTCATGAATTTTAAAGTTCCTTTTGGGCGCAAACACATTTAAGATCAGTATGTCTTCTTGATGAATTGCCTCTTTAATATTATGAAATGTTCCTCTTCTTCTCTGCAAGTATTTCTTGTGCTGATGGCTACTTTTATATTCACATAGCCACTACGTTCCTTATGCTTATTGCTTTTGCATAGCATACGCTTTTCTGTCCTTTTACTTTTAACCCATGTATGTTTTTATATTTAAAGTGGATTTCTTGTGGACAGCATATAGTTGTAGTTTTTGAAAATCCAATCTAACAATCTCTGTCTTTCATTTGTTTTTTATGTTATTTTTTGAATATTTGCATTTAGCATAATAATCAGTTTGGTTAGGTGTAAATATATCATCTTGGATATTTTCCTTTTTCTTCTCTGTTCATTTTTTTTTCTACTTTTCCTGTCTTTTAAAAAAATATTGAGTATCTTTTAAGTATTTTATTTTATCTCTGCTATTGGCTTATCACTTACACGTACCTCTTTACCTTATTTATTTAGAAGTTGCTCTGGGGATAACGTTATCCACTTTTTATTTTATCTCTGCTATTGGCTTATCACTTACACGTACCTCTTTACCTTATTTATTTAGAAGTTGCTCTGGGGATAACGTTATCCACTTTAACTTATCACTGGCTACCTGCAAATACTGTTATAGCGTCTCTTAAACAGTGTAGCTCCAAGAAATTAATAAATGAGGAAAAGTCTGTTATGTTTACCCATGTAGTTCTGGCCTCTTTATTCCTTTGTACTGATTCAGATTTCCATCTGTTATTATTTTCCTTTAGCCTGAAGAAATTCTTTTCTCATTTCTTGTAGTATAAGTCTGCTGGCAATTTTCCCAGCTTTTGTTTGTCTGAAAAAGTTTATATTTCACCCCCTTTTTTCAAGAACATTTTTGCTGGTGTTTCCATATTTACAGTTTTTTCTTTCGGCTCCTTAAAACTGTTGTGCTTTTGGCTTCCGGCTTGTGCTCACTGATGAGAAGTCTGAGTTCATTTGTGTCTTTGTTGTTTTGAATAATGTTTCTTTTTCCTTATGCTGCTTTTAAGATTATCTCTTTTTTTTGTTTTTTAGTGATTTGGTTATGATATGCCTTGGTGTAAGATTTTGAGGTTTATCCTGCTTGGGTTTGTTGAGCTGTAATTTTCACCAAATTTGGAAGATTTGGGGCTATTGTTTATTCAGATATTAAAAAATATTTCCTCCTCTCCTGGGACTCCAGTTATACATATTTAACAACTTGATTCATTAGAGGGTATCCTTAGGGTGTGTCTGCCACAACCCCCCAAAGCAGAGGCCTGCTGACCTTCCTACTGTGTCAGTAGCCATGACCTTCCACCTACTGCAAGTAACAAGTCCATTTGTGCCTTCGCAGATGACCTTTGTTTTATGACAAAATATGTAATTTGGAATTTTCTAATATTAAGCAGCTAATTCTAGTGACAGAATTAAGATGAAAATCTTCCCTAGGATACACACCTCTAATACTCACAAAAAAATTCTAATTAATAATATAGATATTGTTGATAGTAGCAGATGCTTCATTGTGTAATTGAATGAGACATTAATTCTCTTACTATGCCTGGTCAAATTCTCTTGCTCTTCAGTGCAGGAATCACAGCCATGGCCCCCACCTGCCAGGATTCGGTCGACATGGAGTCTGTGCACATGAAAACAAAGATCTTGCCAAGGCGAGAGAAGCTCTTCCTCTTCTAGAGGACTCTAGTAACTGTGACATTGTAAAGGCTACTCAGTAAGTCTTCCCATGCACTGTTTTATGCTCGTGTTCTGCTGAATTGTGATAAAGTGCGTGCAGTGCACCTGAGCTGTTTGTTACCAGGCTCTCCCACTAGGTTGGGAGCAGCTTCTTTGCAAAAGCCTGTCTTTTTCGTCTTTGTAGCCCCAGTGCTTTTGCACAGTTCATGTCTTGTGTTAGGTGCCCAATAAATGTTGAGTGAATGAATGATTTAAAATAACATTAAAACTGGACTCTGAGTTTGAAACACAAATCTGAGTCTTTTAAAATGTACTACAACCTAAATATGTAGATGGGGTGGAAAAATATCACCTCACACATTTATGGATCATCTAAACATTTATGTACTTATTGAGTACTTTCTATCTACCTGTTGTACTGGGTGCATTAGAAACAAGGCAGTGAAGTAGAAATAGGTTTTCTGACCACTTGAAACTTATGGTGGTTTGTTTTGCTTGCACTAAAAATGGAAGTATGTTTTGAAAGTTTTTCCTAAAGATCTCCATATGTGAGTATTTGCATTAAGTTATTTCTAACCTTTTCATCCTCATGGATCTGGTTGATTATCAACATCCACCCCACTTTTTGCCATTGAACATATTTTAAAATATATTGCCTATCGGATTACATTAATTAGTAATCCATTTTCTTAGTAAGCAAGTATAAATCTGCCCATCACATCTTCTAATCAGAATGAAAGGAACTAATGGTACCACACTAACTCGATGTAATTTCTGTCAAAAGCAAAGATGTTTACTGATTAATTAGCCTGTTTGGCCTTAATGTAGACTAATGTGTTATTAGGTTAGTTAAAAAATAATTGACAATTATTTGAGTATTCTAATTAGTAGTTTATCTGAACTCCAGAGGTCCTGGGAACCGCTGCTTTGGCTGATGTTATTTGACATTGTTTGTATTATTATATGTATGTGAAGAGGAGAGTGTTCTTAAGGTAAATTTTGCTTTAATTAGAATGGAAACATTTAAATGTTTCTCTGCTACCCGTAAAGCTCTCTTACGATAAATGTGAGAAATTAGGCTGCATTTGCAGGGAGTCTCAGTAAAAACTCACATTTTTATATCTTTGCTAACATTTCCTTTAGGTCTTTGACTGACTCAAGTGGTTGTGGAAATATGTTTACATAGTATTTGGGAAGGGCAAAAGAGAGCTAGGATGTGTGTGTATGTTTCCTAAACCACCAAAAATTCTAATTAGTGTCTACTCTTATTATATTTCTCAAATAAAGGCAATTTCTTTTCCAGTAAAATGTTGAAGTTGACATTTAAAAGATGGAGGATATACATATATGTATCATAATCAACAATTCGTTCTTTTTAATATTTTCACTTAGGGTTGTCAAACAGATAGCTCTAACTTTTAAAAATGCCATAAGTGGGGCTGGCCCGGTGATATAGTGGTTAAGTTCACATGCTCTGCTTTGGTGTCCTGGGGTTTGTGGGTTCAGATCCCAGGTGCAGACCTGCACACTGCTCGTCAAGCCATGCTGTGGCAGCGTCCCACATACAAAATAGAGGAAGACTGGCACAGATGTTAGCTCAGGGCTAATCTTCCTCACCAAAAAAATAAAAAATAAATTAAAAATGCCGTCAAGACGGACAGACACACAGGCACATGCACATTTTGGTGAGGCAGAGATTATTTAATTTACCAGTGTGGGAAACAGAGGCAGCTCTGCCATTTGGTTTGATTTTGACCCTTGAGGGCCTATTGAAACTTGCACGTCCCTCTAAATAGAAATAACTTTCAAAGAAAGTGCTAAGTGGTCTGTTGGACTTGAGTTTCTATGAAAAGGAACGTTGCTAATAAATGATTTTAAAAAGTATTGTAGCATTAAAAAGAGGTATTTCTCTCCTGTTTTTCACTCTGATAGTCAGTCAGTAAATCACTCCCTTAAAGAACTCTCGTGTCCGTCCTTCCTTGTCCATTCCTGTTGCCGCTCTTGAGACTCGTCTGTGTTTCTTGCAGGAGCCTCTAAACTGGTCTTTCAGTCTCTGCCTCACTCTCTTCTCATTAGCTTCCGTTCTGCCGCTAAATATGATCTTTCTTAGAACTCAAAGTCTGAGTATTTTTGTCTTTAAAACCCTCAGTGGTTTCCCTTGAACCATAGATAAAGTCTAAACTTTGCAGCACGGCGTGGAAGGCCCGTGGGTCTGCCTGCGGCTTCTGCCTCATCTCTTGCCGTACCTCTCTTCTGCTTTATGCCCCTGCCGTGTTAAGTTGCTCATGTTTCCCTGAACATCCATGCCGTTTCACATCTCTTGATTTTTACGCATGCTGTTCCCTCTGCCTAAAATGCTCTCCCTTCAGCCTGGAAAACATAGCTCGTATGTTATACTTCATCTCCTTTAGGAAGGGCTCGTCACTCCTTCCCTTGCAGTACCTGTACCTCGTCCATATTTTAGTGTGGAATTTATCCCATTCCAAGTTTGCTTTCAGTTATCGTGAGGTCATTGCATGGGCTTAGTTTGCTTCGGGGATAAGACTGTAAGTTAGGAACTGACACCGTGTATTCCTGGCACGTAGTGGAAAATCAACTGAAATTTATTGAAGGAGGGCAGATGTGACTGTTAAATTTTATTTGAGAAAGTCATGTTCCACTCCAGTTGGCTCTGACCAGTTGGTAAACCAGGTGTACTGTTGTTGTTTGGCTTTACGATAGGTCCTGTTTGTCTATATCTTTGTTAATTATTGTATTCCTGTGTTGGTTGAAAGACAGTTTGGATAAAGACATGGTAAAGCAGGAAATTTTGATATTTGAAATTATTTTAATGGTATCAATTATGCCTCTTTTTCCCCCCTTATTCAAGATACGGGATTTTTGAACGATGTAAAGAGTTGGTAGAAGCGGGATATGATGTCAGGCAACCAGACAAAGAAAATGTGTCACTTCTTCATTGGGCTGCTATTAACAACAGGCTGGATCTCGTAAAGTAAGATGGGATATATGTGGTTATTTAAGTGTGTATTTATAGTTCTAAACCTCTCCTTCATTTGTCTTTTTCTTCAAGTGCAAGTATGAATGTTGAACCATCTGTAATCCTTTATTGTTAATGTACACCTGAAACCGTGCCACACACATCGGTTGTCATAGCGTTGAAAATGACCTTGGAAACTCATTGGCCCAAAAAGGAAAATTAAAGATAAAGCCACAGGGGCCCATTATAAAGATAAAGTTTAGGAAATGAAAGTGAACATTTTTTGGAAAGGAAAAGCATGACGTAAACTTTCACAGGATGGAAGAGAAAGTTTCATGTAGTCTGGAAAGAAACATTGAAATATTTTACATTCTGATAATGCCAGGAGGACTAGATGAGTAGGGAAATAATTCAGCCTTTTTGTTTTAAAACTAACTATGGAATACATTTCTAAGTAGGCATGTACTAGATTGTACAGAATATTTCCCCATCGTAAAGCACTACTGCCTACCCATTGTTTTTGTTTGTTTCTTTGTTTTATACCTTAGCATATAATATATATGTGTGTATCTGAATGTGTATATATTTTGTATCATACATATTTAAAATCCTCGGTTTAAGAAAATAAAAATATACTAAAGTTTAAAATATCCTAACACATTTTACTCACAGGCAAAACTCCTTTTCTGTGGAAATAAACTGGCATATTGTTTAAACAGAATATGATATATGAAGCACAACTTGGAAATAATGAGACTAATTCCTGTAAACCACAGAAGAAAATAAATCTCTTTACCTCATAGATTCATTTTATACGGTGCATCACATCTGTGCTCCCAAAATAGAGAGCAAAACACGAAATGTCTAACTTTTCTGAAAGGATTTTGAATTAATTTTTTACTACTTACTTTTAGAATTCATTCCCACATGGTAATTCTAATTTTAAACTGTTAACAGTGGCATGATTTGACCTTTCTTCTTGCAAGTTAAATAGAATATTTGTGTGTTATCTACACCTGTTGAACACAAACCGTTTCGAGAACGCTGTGGTTAGAACATGGGCAGTGGTTGTCGTGAGTGTGGTATCTGAGTTACCGAATACCCCTGACAGCAGGTGTAATTACTTACACGCTAAGAATTGTTTCATATGTTTGACACTGTGGTGTGAATCTTTCTGTAGATTTGAAGGTTATTGTTATCATTTCTGTTTTCCAACACATTTGTTCCTAAGAAAAATTAATGTCTTTCTCAGTATGGATTTCGAGTTTTAGGTCTTATTCTTGTCTATGTCTGCTTTTAACAGGTTTTATATTTCAAAAGGCGCCGTGGTGGATCAGCTGGGTGGAGACTTAAATTCAACTCCTCTTCACTGGGCTGTCAGGTAAAGGTTTCTTTAGAACTGAAATTGCTGTTCACAATCAGAAGTGACTTGAGTTCGTTTTCTGAACATTATCGACCAACACTTTCCAACAGAATTTTCTGCAATTATGGAAATATTCCCTTCTGTGCTGTCCAATATGGTAGCCACTAGTCACATGTGAAATGTGCATTCTGAAGTGCGGCTGGTCCAACTAAGGAATTGAATTTTTAATTTTACTTCATTTTAACCAGTTTAAATTTAAATAGCCATGTGTGTCTAGCGGCCACCACATTGGAAATTGCAGTTGTAGATAATTTGAAAGGCTTTCTTTTCCTTTTTTCCCTTAATTCAAAAAAAATGACAGTTTGAAGAGTTTCCAGAGTTGTTTTTTGTGTTCAGTTTAGGGCTCCACTATAACGCTCAAACTCACATATGTGTGTTATACTTTCTTTTTTATAATCAGATAAATATCGTTTATATTTGGCCCCATGGATAAAAGTGATACTTAGGGAACTGTAAACTCAGCCAGTTCTTTTCTCTGGTGGGTACTAACCATCTGCAGCTGAGGTTAATGAGTACTTTTTCGTCTTCTATTTTATCTCTACTCTCTGTGGTTAGTGGGGTTGACAGGAACCTGAAACTGAAGTGAAGGATTGTTCATTTAAGGCAAGGAATTGAATCTTTTCTCCGTAGCCAAGAGTTTTGAAGAATCTAGGGCAAATTCATCCCCTTTGAGCTACTGAGGTAACAGTGCTTTACATGGAAAATGAACCATATTCAGTATAAAAATAGGTAGTTCCTAGGAATAATCTTCTCACGGCATACCTGCAGTCTATAAATATGCTACTTTCGCATATCTGACTCATGATTATTTTTTGTTTTTAAAATAGCAGCAGTGAAGTCTGAGTGGTTTCAGAGTTTTCAGTTTTAGCATTAGTCATGCTGGGGGTGCACCATAAGGTTTCAGCGAGATTGGGAGGTTGACTGTATCACCTGCACTCAGGGACTGCCCAGAGAGTTCTAAGTTTGGAGCATCTCAGTAAAAGTTGTGTAGACAATCTTCTAGTGGTTTACAAATTTCACTGTTAGGAAATATTCCTTATATCTAATCAAAATCCCTCATGTGTTAGGGATATCAGTTTCTCCTGGACGTTTTTCTTTTTCTGCATGCTACAGAATACAGTATAATGTTTATCCTCTGTTTACAGACAAGGGCATTTACCTATGGTCATATTATTACTACAGTATGGCGCAGACCCCACTCTCATTGATGGAGAGGGATTCAGCTGCATCCACCTGGCAGTATTATTTCAGCACATGCCCATCATAGCATATCTCATCTCTAAAGGACAGGTATGTTTTGAAATCCATCTTCAACTCCAGCTATGGTAAATCTGAGGAGATTGGGAAGGGTGTTAGTCGTAGTCTGTCCTCATTTTTAAAGTATATCCAGATATTCAAGTGTTAGCCTCAGTAAGTCTAGCTATTGAATACTGCTTTTCCAACTTTCTTGGAGCAAAAAAGACAGGTCGTTTAGCTCAGTAACATATAATAGATGTTTCTGAAACTTGTAAGCCTGTAATAGTTTTCCTTATGATCCTAGTAATTTGCAGGGTTTTTTAAAAATGTGACTTCACAGCCCGTATTTTTCTTCTGGTTGGAGGTAGAAAGAGTAGTCAGATTGCTAAATTAACCCATCACTTGCTTTCATTATTTGAGTCCAAATGGGGAACCAATTTGAATGTATGCTTCTTATTGTTCTCTAAAGTAATTCCATGAAAAATGACTTGCCTTAAGAGGCATCCATTTATGACACAGGTTAAATTACGGGTTATTGGCAGTGGGAGTTTCACTGCCTGGGATGTGCTTTCTGATAGCAGAGTAGTTTATGTATCAGCAGACTCGCCTGTAACACGTGTGGACACATGTTTGCACAAATGCTGTTGGAATGATTGTACTCTCTTTAAATAAGCACTTTCTCTCACACTTAGCCAACTGAGGTAGAATAATTATAACCTCCTGGGTCTCCTTTTGGAAAGATTTATGGGGAGGAGTCCTTTCTGCTGTTCTTTGGGCTCCTTCCCAAGGCCATAGGAGTCTTTAGTAATTGAAGCTCGCTCTTTGGGTTGTACACCTTAGTGTACACCTCAAACCTGGACCCATTTTATTAAAAGGAGCATATCCTCGTGGAGATATGATTTCCTTTCTTTTTCTATATTCTAGAAAATAGAATTTTTCATGTTATAATATTTGAAAGATGATATGATAAGTCCAAAAATACAATGAGTTGTCTCAAAAGATAAAGAGTTTACCATTATGGAAGAGTTTAAGTAGAGACCGAGTGACTGTAAGATATCAATATGAATTAATGTGTCAGTTAGGGTCTGAGCTAGATGACTGCTAAGGTCTCTACAGTTTTAGATAATGGTCATTATCAGTGTTTTTCTCTTTCCCTTAGCTCACGGCCATTCACATCATCAACGCTTTAAATCATATATTCAGATTTTCCCTTTAAAAATATTTTGTAGAAATCAGTGAATTTTTACCCTATGGATGCGAAGCAGAACATTTTGTTATTCAAATGATCTTTGAACACTTCTTGTGGTCACAATGGTTCTGTTGAATGTATTAAAGAGATACTTCTGTTAAGAGAGGATAGAGAATTTTAACTGTGTTCACAGTTGTGCTGGTATATTCTTTTTGAACAGAGTGTGAATATGACAGATTTAAATGGGCAGACACCTCTAATGTTAGCGGCTCACAAAGTACTTGGGTGAGTTTAATTGAATTGCCTCATTCTGATTCTTGTTTCTGACGGTTTCTTTTCCATGGATATAATTTTAAGTATCTCAGTCTATGTGAGATGACACTGCATTCTAAAGAAGAAAATAGGATTTTCCACCCTGTGACTGTGATATGAACTTTTAATGTACTTGTAGTTATAAAAGCACCATTGAAGTAAATTTTCTGTTTTCTGATAGCTTTAGGGGAAAGTTTGAAAGCTACTAATAAGAAAAAATTTCCTTAGAGGACAGATAGAGATTCCATAGCATGTACTTGTTAACATGACTTACATTTCTTAGTTTACATTTTAAAAAATGGCTACATGTTTAAATGTCCTCATAATTTGAAATCTAGCTGATAAATCTGGTTTCTGGAAAACAGTAAATTTTGGTTCTCTGACGTTATTGACTGGTCTGAAAATATTAATGTAACTGATCTATAAAAAGAGGCTGTTTATATGTTCACATCAGGTACTTACATATTTAAGTTTTTCTGTGTATTTATTTTATAAACACGTGATTAATGACGCCATATGGTCCACCATCTAGTCTTCTGTTCAAACGCGTGCTCCAGGTTTCCCTTTACAGGTTGTCTCCAGGGCTGTACTTAATTTCTGATTCCGCTTTCGCTTAGGACTCTTCTCCAGCGAACTGAGTTAATTCTAATGCCATTTCCTCTTTGTTCGTGGAGTGGTGGGGCTGGGGTAGAATTTTGTTAAACATTTATCATCTTCACTGATAACTCTGAAGTCAGATCCAGTGTTTAAAGATCTTGATAGAATAAGTAAAGTAGGATATTGTTTTGTTAAAAGAGTCTCTTGAGTAGTCATGAAGGTAGGGAAAGTGTTGGTGGTAAAGTAAAAGTATTTGATTGAATTCTGTCTTCCAGTCCAATTCTAGGATGCACAAATATTTTAGGATGTTATTAACACCTGACTTATTTAATAATTGGTTAGAAGGAGGAAATGAAGTTAGTTTTTAGTTTATCTCCTCACATATAATGTTGTACATTTAGTCTTTAAATAGATAAATAACATATCATTTAATATTGGCCAAAGTTAAACTTACATTTTAAAAAAATGTTAGCCAATAGAAGAACAAGATGAAAGTAAAAAGTTTGGAAAACAAAAACTACTATTCCACCATTATGTTGATGTTAAAATAATCATCTATAGAACAGACTGTCACTTTTCTTTTTTTTTTTTTTTGGTTTCTCCTCTTAGCACAAGGAATAAAAGTCTACGCAAAGAAGTTTCTTGGTTGTTCAGAATACGTAATGATTGGTTAACTGATACATTAGCTTAAAAGAGTCATCATTTGCATTTATCCTTCAAATCATCGTCTCTGTTAATGCCCCTTGGTATTTTGTTGTTTTGAGACAGGCCAGAACCAACTGGATTTCTTTTAAAGTTTAATCCTTCTCTCAGCGTGGTCGATAAAATACACCAAAACACTCCGCTCCACTGGGCCGTTGCAGCAGGCAACGTGAATGCAGTCGATAAACTTTTGGAAGCTGGTTCTAGCCTGGATGTCCGAAATGTTAAGGTATGACCGGGTATTGATCTCCTTTGTTATGTCTTCAGTTAGAAGATGGGGGAATTAACAGAAAGATAAGCAATACATGTCTTCGGTTACCACAGGGTGGATATGAACAATAATAGCTGGCTACCCTCGGAATAAATGTGTTGAGTCTATGATTTTGGTGAGTTTGTATCAAATGTTTAACACTGACAATAGAATGGAAATATAATTGAACTTTTTCTTCTTTCTTTTTTTTTTAAAGGGAGAAACACCTCTTGATATGGCTTTACAAAACAAAAATCGGCTCATTATCCACATGCTAAAAACGGAAGCCAAAATGAGAGCCAACAAAAATTTCAGACTTTGGAGGTGGCTGCAGAAATGCGAGGTATTTTCATATGGGGCCTGTTCTTTGGGCTATAGGAGCTTTTTGTTTGTTTATTTTGTCCTTTAAGGCATCGGGGAAACCAAGAGGTTGGCTTCGTACTGCATTACGTCTGCTGATTGTGTCTTTTCCATGCATCCCACGACCTACAGTTGGACATTTCGCACTTTCATTGGCAATTTATTGTTGGTCCTCAGCCACACGGCTCTAAAACTACATGTTGCTTTGTGAATATCATGGCATACCTCCTCGTTTGTTTAGTGAATGAATTGAAACACAAATGGTTTAGATTCTTGGAGAAGCAAAAAGAAAAATACTTTGTTGCAAGGAATTTGATGAAAGCTTTTCTTAAAGAGCTTGTTCCTTACTGATTTTTTTTTCAATAAGAAAATACATTCAGAATGTTTTGTTAGAATCAGGAGGAGTTAGACTTTCAAGGCGACAGTGTTGCAAACTTCAGGCATATGATGTCACTTCATAAAATAAAAAACATTTGGAATTTGAGAGATGAAACCCACATTTTACTCAGTTTTTAACTTGGTCTTCTGAGTGGTATTCTTCTATACTTAAAAGTGAACTGAGCGATAGAAAAAGTTAGGAAGTTTAGCCTGTTCTCATGAATGGCTAACAAAATCTAAGTCGTAATAGTGAATATAATTCAAATTGTTAAAATGGGCTATTGAATTGATTCCACTATTTTTAGTGTTTTCAGATATGATGGATAGTATCATCTTATCTAAAAATAGTTAGTAATTGTACTTTCAGAATGATTCTGAATTAACAGGCGCCAGATTTCCATGCAGAGGGTCATCATGGGTACTCCACCTGTTTTAAATTTAGGTATGTGGAGGGAGAGAGGAGGAGGCAACAGTT